TTGGTTTTTTTTTGTTCTGGTCTTCATTATGTTAATTTATTTGTATCTTTATTTTAAGTTCGAAATTTCCTGTGTGATCTTAAACATTTTCATGTCCAAGGAGCAGTTACATGGACATGGATTTACTTGTGGTAATGGAACAGCCTTGCAGAGCCAGCTAAAAAACACGGAAAGATGAGGAGAAAGAAGATGAAACTTTCTTCTTCCTGGTCAGCTAAAAGCCAGCTGTTAAGCAAGGACAGTGTCTGATCCAGTATATGAAATATGCTTTAATCTAAGGAAAAAATAATATGTATTGTAGATCTGGAGGAACATGGTTCTCAAATACTCCTACCTATTAAAAAATACAAATATTTCCACTGTGAATCTTGTTATTGCTGTAACTCCTTTGGAGAAAAGGCAGACTTTTATATGAGGTAGTATTTTTTTTCTGTGCACCCTTCTTTTCTTTTTCATTTTCCCACCTCCCCATCCCCCCACCCCCCAGACGGAGAGCTTTAATTGACTGGAAATGGAACAACTGTTTGGCTAAGTAAAAGCAAACATGAGCTGAGTCTTAAATAGTTCTCTCTGTAGGAATTCAGGTTAGGTCTTAATTATTTCTCTGGATCATCATTAACCATGTCTGACCTGTTTCTGAGCATGTGACAGACCTGAGAGTAGCCGAATACCTTTCATCAGCTGATAGTTATGTATTATGACTTTTCTAGATCGGGAATGTCATGAAGACAAGTGAAAAGTCTTCTTACTAATGCAGTATTGCTTCTTTCTAATATAAGACTAATTTTCCAGGTGGAAAAAGTGAGATTATTTTCTTTTGTATGTGAGATAGGAATTGCTTGGAGAAAATGGTCTTTGCTTGCATAGTATCATGTACCACGATCCCTGCACTGCCCAGTTTGTAGTGGGGACTTGCCTTCTCTGGTAACTCATAGCCAGCCCACAGCTGGCAAGGTGCTGCTCCTGCAGAGTTGCAGTATGAGCCCTGAAGGAGCTGTGGATCTTCATTATATACAAACATCTAACCTGATCTTCAGTCTAGAAGTGGCTGCAGGAGATTGCGTGCCTCTGATGGAAGCTGTTGCCATATCCTGGTGACTGGTGCAGAACACCTGCATGCACACAGTGTGTGCCCTTCTGCAACTCTTGAACAAAGTCCAGCAGCTAGCTGTACATACCCAAGGAACCTGAGTTAAAGTGTCAGACTTTGCACTGAAATGGATTAAAATCATGCACAAGATCCAGTCAGGCTCTGTTACAGGATTGGTAATGCCCAAGAGGGACCTTTGGTAGTCATATTACTCCTGTCTTTTAAAGCTCCTTGGAAGTTAGAAGAATTGAGAAGGGTGAATACCTAAAGGGTGAGGTAACCTAGGAACCCATCAGAACTGTGCTCTGATCTTTGGTCCCTCGTTGTTACCAGTATGTTACCAGAACAAACTAGGACTTCATGAGTTGGGCCTAAGCCTTTGGCTCTCCGTCACACTTGAACATTACTGATGGATTGAAAGGCACCAAAGCAGTTGCCAGGTACCTTGATGTGTCAGCACAAACTTCCTGCACAGGGGCAAAAAGCTGGTTACAAGGGAGACAGTACCCTTATAAATACACTGTCAGCAGGGAAACTGGGAAATAAGGGATCTTTGCTTAATGAAAAGTAATCCCAGGTTTTCAGCAGGTTTGCTCTCTCCATTTCAGTGCCAAGATCCTTTCCCTGCTTGTTTCCCAAATGGGGCAGTAGAAGGAGCCAGCAGAGGTGTTTCTACAGTTTAACCTTCAGGAGGAGAGACTAAAGCTACCCTGCTTTTCCCTCGAGGAAAGGAAGGGATATTGACTTTTATCTAAGAAGGTTTGAAGCTTTGAATCAAATTCTGCAAGATCTCTGTGCATACATGGGAGGGAACAAGACACATCTGTGATCCAGGTGGTAATGTCTTACCACCTATTTCAAGTTTTGTTTTTATCGGTAAAGCTGTATGAGGTTTTGAGTCTGGACAAATGTCTGTGGTTTAGGCGGTTTTGTGATCATATGTATAATATTATATCAAATGTCTGAAGGAGTAGTAGCTACAGTAAGAAATCTGTTAAAAAAATAATCCAAATCAAAAGAACCAGAAGACTATAAAGAAATGTATTTTTTTATCCTGTATACAACTTAATCATGTTTAATATGAAGTGTACTTCACATGAACAAAAAAATTAGAAGAGAAATGCTATTTTTTTTTTCTGAATCATATCCTTATTGTGAAAGGTTAGGGTGGAAAATGCTAAATTACAGGAAGCCCAGAAAAATCTGTGCCTTGTTTAGTTGTTGGTTTTTTTTTTCCTTTAATTGTTTTTTGGTGTTTTTTCATCTTGAGATTTGAATCCCTATTAGAATTTTGCGATGCTGATGCAAACTTAATAGACTTCTTGGTAAAATGTATTTTAATTTTATGCTGCATTCTTGAATCCTGACCTGAACTGGGATGAAATTCCCTCAGCCTGGAGCTGTATGACTGACCAGCTACACGGTGCTGGCTTTTAATTTCCCCTCAGTTATCTACTTGTGTTCAGTTTTAGAAGATGGACATGTATCTAACTGGGAATGCAAATATTGTAAGTATAGGCTTTGTTTCAGAAAATTAAACCAAAAACTTGTATTTTCTTTATTTGCAGTTAAATAATGTATCTCTAGGTGGCGGTAGGACACAGGAATTTTTTCTGTCTGCAGAACAGGTGTTGACAGTGCCTGCCGTTTGTATTGGGTTGGGGGATCTTTTTGTTGGTTTTGGGGTTTTGGTTGGTTGGTTCTTTTTAACTTTCCCTGTAAAAGTACATATAGAATCACTGAGCATTTTTGCTCTTGAATTAGAGGGGAGAGTGCCTTGGAAAAAGCAAAGGATAATTTATGTTCAGTTTTATAGATATTAGATTCATAGAACATCAGGTTGAAGGGACCTCAAGGATCATCTGGTCCAACCTTTCTAGGCAAAGCATGGCCTAGACTAGATGTCCTAGCACTCTGTCCAGCTGAATCTTAAAAGTGTCCAGTGCTGGGGAATCCATCACTTCCCCGGGGAGATTATTCTCACTGTGAAAAATTTTCCTCTTGTGTCCAGTCAGAATCTTCCCAGAATTAACTTGTGCCCATCAACCCTCATCTTTTCCGTGTGAGTCCTTGTAAAAAGGGAGTCTCCATCTTCTTTTTAGGCACTCTTTAAAATACTGGAACAAGATGAAAAGGTTTCTCCTGAGCCTTCTTTTCTCTAGGCTGAATAAACCCAGCTGTCTCCGCCACGGTTGCAGATAATACCAAGCAGTTATCTTCTTTTTGTTTTGTTAAAACAATGCATTACACTGAACATAAAAAGAAGGCTGAATTGCCCGAAGTCTGTGTTTATCAGTACTTGTGACCAGCACCAGGTGCCCAGGAGAAGTGTGATGGGCCAGACAGTTGCCTGGTCCTGGCAGGCAGGAGGCCTCCACTATGCAGGGAAGGGCTGGTGCTTGTGGCAGGGGGCAACTGTAGGAAAAACTCCAAAGTCTTCACTGATGATTTGCTGCTTTTCAACTTAATTAAAATACATGCTGTGTGAAACCCATCTGACACTGCTGTTCCCTCCAGTAATTCTTTTAGTAGCTTGTGTCCCTTCAGTTCCCCCAAAGAAATCTGAAGTATTTGATTTTTATCTCATGAAAAGCTTAGATACTAACTTTCCCTTTTTTTTCTGATGTCTTCATTATCTGGGTGTGCTCAGAAGGTGCTATAGCTATATGTATAGAAGGTACTGTGGCTTTAGCAGTTGTTGACATTGGGACATTATGTAAAGCAGTGTAGAAAATCCAATATTATCTAATTCACTGGAGACTTGTTATGAAACAAGAATTAGAATTAATAGTCTTACTAAAAATTTGCTAAGGAATTCCAGTTCTATCTACATGCTTGACATGGGTAACTTCCTTATTAAGTTCTCTGTTACAGATCTCTTCCACAGTGTATGGAAAAATACTGGGGTTTTATGTTTGTTTGTTTGAAGGTTTTCTTATTGCTTAGAGATGCCTTTTACTGTAATTTAACTGTGTTTAGGAAAAAAATATACAAACTGAGGATCCCACATAATAACCTACCATCGTATTTTCTACTGACTGTGGTATACCAGTCTGCCTGGAGAGGGCCACAGAAATACAAGGAAGACAAGTCTACTCCTAGCTGAGGTCAAGCAAAAAGAAATTATTTTGCATATGTATTCTTTTGTTTTAGAACATGTGAAGGTGTTAAATCAAGGTGAAGCACATAAAGGATATTAGTTTTGCAATGTGATAAACTGCATATCCTTGAACTGTCTGTTTTTTTCCTTGCTTTCTCATGTGACAGTTAAATATATTAAGCTGAAAATAAGACTCAGATGATGTGCTGCTTCTTCCAGTTCAAAACTAATATATTTTATGAAATACACTGAAAAATCATTGGTGATTTGTATTGCACATTTAAAACTGTAAGGATTTCAAAATTACAGTTTAAACCTGGACACCCAAATAATTTTTTTATGTACTCTAAGCCCCTATATCCTTTGTTGCTGTCTCTTCATCAGTGCACTGGTTCTGAAAGATTTATGTATGATAATCTCATGGCAGTCTTTAAGGTAGCTTTCCAAAATTACATGTGCAAAATATGATTAAACCAGAATAAGAATTTTGCTGCTTATTTTAAAAATTAATATTAAAAAGCCTGATTTATATTTATTATAATTTAACTGTTCTTTAAATTATCTATTTCTGCCTAGACAGTTGAATGTATACCTATCTTTTCTAAGAAGCCCTGGGCTTATGATTGGTCAAAAACCATTCACTAGCTGTTGTGGGACTTCTTAAGTGGAGTCTTTGTAGTAGGATGAAAAACTCTTGAGTATCAGTTTCTGACAACTTTTTTGTCTTTAGACTTGTCAAGCAAAAATGCATAAAATTAAGTGGGGAATTATCCATGCCCCATTAAAATTGCTCTTCCTCTTCACAAACAGCTGCTGAAATACAAAGAATACTACATCAGCTTGGAACACCACAGGACACGCCTGAGTTGAGGCAACAGCTGTGAGTACTTCACATGAAAACGTTTAATTTCATTGGCATTGTAAACAGTCTCCTGGTAGGTGTTGAGGTGGAGTTTTTGTTAGGCAGAGTGCTTGATCTCGAGAAAGGCAAGGATAGAGAAATACTTGAATCTTAAATGTTGAGATGTGCCTTTTAAAATTAATCTTCAGTAGTCTGTAAACTAGAGCCAGCTGTTCTGCCCATGTACACTGCCTGCGGTATAATACATGTGTAAAACCTGTGCTGTATGTCAGCCAAGGGAAAGTGGCAGGACAATACCACTGTTTAAAAACAAACACCCATACCCTCTGCTCCAGACAACTCTTCAAATCTGTCCAAGTCTCACAAGGTAATGATTATATTGGGGAGGGGGAGTTGTGAGAGCTGATACTTGGGGAGAGAAGGGAATGTCTTTTTAAGTGATGAAAGCTACAGTAAGGGATAATGTTACAAAATAAACATGTACCAGAAATACTAACATAGTAGAAGTGAAATAAGGCTCCAAGGTAGATGCTGTGCTGTAGTTCAGTCACGTGAAGGTGGACTTACATTGGTATGCCACTAACAGAGACAGCCAGCTGCTCTCCCCTTCTCTTCCTAGTCTGATGAACCGGTATGATTTTTTTCCATTAAACTCCTTTACCATATTAATCTCGGGATCATAAATGCACATAAGTGACATGTTGTGCTAACCCTGTGGGTGAGAAAGTTGGCAGTTTTCAGCATGGTTAGTGCTGAAGTGTGGCCACTGAATAGTAGTAGGAGGTGTGTATTGGACCACAGGCATCACATTCATTTTGTGTGAACAGCCAGATAGCTTTGTAATAGCCCAAGTTCAGGGCCCATAACGTTAGTCAGGTGCAATCCACCATGGATATCCTAGTGAAGACTCTGAATAGGTGAAGATCAACATGCACAGTTTATGCAATAACCAGACAGAATGTAGGCATAAATTCACGACTAAACAGGACAGAAACTGTTGTGAAAGACATATTCCAGTCTTTTTATGAAAGTATATATAGTAAGCTTTCTTGAGTTTTTATCTGTCCCTTTTTTACTTGCTTGGACATTTGGCCTTTCCTTTCACATTGGTACGTATCTGAAGACTTATTTGGTTATTTTAATATTTCTGTTGATTGTTTGCTAACAGCTTTTTGGATAAAACATTTTTATATACACTGGAGAGGAGGATGCAGAAGCAGATAAAGAATTTGAGTTGCTCCAGGAAATAAATATGAAGATTGGTAAAGGAGTGTGTGATAACATCAAAAGCAAAGAGACACGCAAAAAAAAAAGGCACTGCTGTTGAAGACAGGCTTCTTTCTAACCACTAGTAAAGCTATTAGTAAATAATGACGTTTTCAGCTAAGTTCACAGCTATTGTATCATGGGAGAATATAGATCTCCTTTGTTAAGCTTTCATGGTGTTTTCTGTAGTTATTCTGAACTTGGAAATGACCAGGTGTTTCCAACTACTGATAGCCTCAAAAGGACTATGAAAGCATGTTTTAAAAAGTGAGTAATGATGCTGTCACACTGAGGAACACACCTTCTCCATCATCTGTTCCACCTGGAATCTGTGGTGTCACACCTTTACAGGGAAGAAAAGAGTAAAGATGGCTTTGTGCACTTTAAAAGCAGTGTTTAGTACTGCTATGTTTCTGAGAATCAGTGAAATTCAAATGAAGTAACCCAGTGGTCTCTAATGAAACTTTGTGTTTGGTTTTAGGCAGCAGAAGCAGCAATACACCAACCAGCTTGCCAAAGAAACTGACAAACACATTAAAGAATTTGGATCATTGCCTGCAACAAGTGAACAGGTATAAAACCAAAGAGCATGCCTTGTTTGACTATCATGTTGGCTCATGTACAGTATTTGAGTGACTTCAGTTCTGCATGCCCATTTTTGTACTCCTCACCAGGCTTTCAAAGCACTGCTTAGTTAGTCAACATATTTGTACAACAGGGACACTGTTGCAGTCTGTACTTGTCCCGAAGTTGTTTTTATGTATCAGGAATGAGGTAGTTTGCGAAATGGTAGGAATCAAGGCAGTGCCCTGTGCCTGTGATTTCAGGTAGCTGGGCACTTTGTAATCTGTTGCAGTGATGCTGACTCTGTGGGCACTCTGACTGCTTCCAGGGTCACGGAATCAGGGCAGGTGGCCAGTGCTCTTCACCCACGGTCCAAATAATTTGAATATGCACAGTACATATATCACTCAGGTCAGCATATGTGCTATGTCTTGTGCACAGGCTTTTCCTTTTTTAAGAGGGGTAGGCAAGAGTTGTTACTAAAACAATGTGTAAAGTCTTTAATCTGCTTCTGTCCCAGATCTGTGTAAAATCTCATCAGGAGGTAACGTGTGAAGTGGCTGTTGTCATTAGCACACTCCTGTCTGTATGGTTGCATATTCTTGCAAAATCTGTCGCTTAAATAAGGGAAGAGCAACAGCATCCCAGAAAATGCGTTTAGGTTATTGTCATTCAGACAACTTGCCTGGTCAGTGGCTGGTTACCAAGGAGCCTTTAGGAAAATGAATTGCCTTGAAATGCTAAATACAAATGTCAGGCCATGATCCATGTGTGCCCATCCTGTCAAACTGTCACCTTCTAATAGAGGTGTTAAAACTTGGTCTTGATGTATAACCTCTAGTTCAGGCAAAGCATGTTTGGGTTATTTATTTATTTATTTATTAATGGTTTCTCTGTCTTGGAGCTGGAAAGCTGGTGGTGAGATGTTTACTGCTTAATTTTAGTCCTTTTATCATGAGCATCTTCATCAAAGCTACCTCCTGATGAAATGCATAAATAACAGATTGCTGAACATCAAATTATAGCCTTTCAGGAATGTGGAAGGAAGGGTTGATGTAATGTATGCGTTTAGGGAAATAATGCGGAGCCTCTCCTGAGTGCCCAGTATTTCTCTTTCCTTCCCTACATTCTTAGAAAATAATAATAATTAAAAAAAAGCCTGAAAGGTTAAAACAGGTATTTTTGTACCAATTCGTAAGCACTTCAGGGGGCATGTGAACCCACTTCTGGATGCAGCTCAATATGTATTTCCAGCATTTATGTAAAATACATGTAAAGTGCCATGTTCTTTCTTTCCTGCACCCTTCCCCCCATTCAATCACCTTTGCATATTTTAGCATCCACAGGTTCAAAACATTTCACACTGAAACAGTAGGTTTTATAATCAGCAGATAATAAGGAAGGTAGAAGCTTTCTTGTTCCTTCCCATTTGTCATTTCCAGCTGCTAAAATAAAAATGTTGGTTTCCTCTTTAAATACTTCAAATTGTGATCTCAGAGGGAAGGTTTGTCCATGCAGCTGCAAATGATTTTGTAGACAGCTTTCCATTACACCTATGTAGAAAAACAAACAAACAAGAATATATAGCTTAGCATGGAGTAGCCTGGAAATGTCAGAGCCTTGAAAAGCCTGAGCTCATTTGACTTGGTAAAACTTTTTCTCCTATAGCGTCAAAGAAAAATACAGAAAGACCGTCTTGTTGGGGAGTTCACCACAGCACTAACAAATTTCCAAAGACTCCAAAGGCAAGCTGCTGAGAAAGAAAAAGACTTTGTAGCCAGAGTAAGAGCCAGCTCAAGGGTGTCTGTAAGTATCGGAAAATGTGCCATTATACTCTGTTTACAATGGTGTTGGTGTTCTATATCAAACTTGCATCCACACTGCTACTTACAAAAGCTCATACATGACTCCAGATACTGCAGAATGTGTGCTATATGTGTGATTGTATAGTAAAGGCTGAAATAAGTTGTAATAACAAATCCAGCTTCCCCAATATTTTTTTCCTTGCCTTTATTACACAAAGCATGAACTGTCCCCAGGTTCATGCTGTAATCTTGAAAATGCAGGTTTTACTAGATTTTAAAATGCTTTTGCTGGACCTTTAGATACCAACAGATTTTTCCTACAGGCAAGAATCACTTGCCAGATTTCTATGCAGTAATAAAGTGGAGAAATCTGAGGAGCTTGAGATGTTGAGCTTTTCCTTGTTAGCGTATCAATTTTGCCTTTTCACACCATGCCAAATACACATTGCTGTACTTGTAAATTTTAGCAGGCAGTTACTGAGCTGAATGGTTTTGCTTGTGTTTCAGCTTTATGCATGCATAAAGCAAAATCAGGATGAGAACATGTTAAATCATGTTTCGGTAAGAAGTTGACTTGCTATAAACCTTGTAATATTGACTCATTATAGAAATGCTGACAGTGCTCTTTTCAGGGCCATAATGTTTTATTTATACTTTTAAACACTGATCATGTAGGGTGGTGCTCCTGAAGATACCTACAGAGAAGGAACACTTGTCTCTTGGGACAGGTAGGCTGAATTTCTTGATAAGTCTTAACCTAGCTCATAATAATAAATGGCCTGAAGAGAAGCCAGCTGCCAATTTATTTTTAAAGTATTTCTTCTGATCAATCGCCTTTTTGTAGAGGGAGTTGGGAAAGGTTGTTTAGTTGGACTTTTTTCCATAAGGCAAGTGTAGAGAAGAGGCTTTGGTGGGATAGGTGGGAAGAAAAAGAATGGCTCGCATCTCCCCTTTTTTCCCCATGCTTCAGCTTTAGTCATCTCCTCAAGCTGCCCTAAGTCTGTATATGGACTGAGACCCAAACTTAGGTAAGCAGAGTCCACCCTGTGAATAGAGCAAAACTGTTAGGTTGTGATAAGGGTCCAGTGTTAACTGGGAACTCCCATTGCTTTCATACTCTCTGAGAACTGCTTCTCAATCTCAGATTCTTTTTTGTTGGCTGCTTTTTTTTTGCCTCAGATGGATGTAAACTTTGCCTTTGTATTTATACTTGGAATTTCCAGATAGCTAGCTGAATGTTACGTACAGCATTGCTACAGTGGCAGTTTCCTATACAGAAGGGGTGACTTAGACCCTTTTTTTTTTACCTTGTTAGCTAGACAGGTAAGGGTAAAAATTCACATTTTGTTAACCGATAATGTAAAGTATGTGCTATGTACTTATCTGTCATTTTATTCTTCTGAGTGGTTTTTCACCGTGCCTATTCTGTTCTGGGTGGGGATTTTTTTGTTTGATAGTCAACCCCAGGCACAAGTGCAAGATGAAGAAATTACGGAAGATGATCTCCGTCTTATTCAGGAGAGGGAATCTTCCATTAGGCAGCTTGAGGTAAGTACAAGTGCTTTTACAGCAGAATATGCTTTTAATGTTTCCAAAGCAAAAAACATTTTATAGTGGCATGAGCGTTAATTACAGACATAAATCTTGTGGAGTTAGGATTTGTTTGTGGGTGTATGTTTTTCCTTCAAAACTACAAATATTGCCTTTAGATGTGAAATGTGCATTAGAACTCGTCTGTATGAAAGCTGTGTTGTGATATGGTGTTTAACTTCAGTGGTTCAGTTATGGAATAAGGGAGTGCTCATGTGATTGGAAAAAAAAAAACTCAATTTTTTTTCATCATAGTGGTCCTATCACACAACCTTTTTAAACAGTGAATATAAATGTAGCAAAATTATGCCTTTCCTCTCAGGCATTCCTAATATATTGTTCAACATCTTCGTTTTGTAGGCAGCTTTTCTGAACTTTCCTGGAAATACAGAGATACTCTGTTTCATTCAAACTTCTGTAATTAAGAGCTTGTCAAAAAGTTTAAAACATTTAAAAACAAGATGTAAGCTACACAAGAAACTTGTCGTGTGGGATGAAATACTGATAGCAAGAGGCTTCTGTGAAGGCAAAATGAATTCTTCCAGCCAGTCTGGAAAAATCCATCTCTACCATCAGTAAGAAAGATGCTGGAACTAGAGTTTGTCAGGAATTCTTGCTCATGCGTGTGGTAAAATCCATAATATCTATAAATTTTTCAGTAATCTCTTCCTTGCCACCCATACTTTAATTTACAGTGAATTGAACTAAACGTTTATCAGTCATTAGTTAAGAAGAGATCATATGGACAGTAACATGGCATCTATTACTTCATTATAACCAGATGGTAATAGGATAATGTAATATAGGTGCAATAGCTTAGCCGTATTATATAGGTAACTTCTGTAAATTGTGGTGCTTACAAAATTTGTGTGTGTTTAGTTCAATAGGTGTACTAAAACTAACTCAAAATACTTTCTGGATATGCCTTTATTAATTTGTCTTAAATGGGTAGCGTTTAAGCAAAGTTGTCATGAGCCTATCCCTTCAGTTAAACTAATAAAAGTATGTGTGTATCCAAGCCCTCAGCAATGAGAGGTCCGGTTTTAGACGTGAAGTGTACTTTGTGCGCATACTTATTGTCAGGCAGTTTGATTATGGTAAACTTGATCTCGTAGTACCAAAAAGACTTCCAAGTAAACTTTTTTTTTTATCTTTTAGTGTAAAAAGTCATGGATATGTACTCAGGAGGAAGGGGAGCTATATTTGTATCTAAATGTACAGAGATATTAGAATATGTTATGTCAATTAATGCAATGGTTGTGTCAATGCAGGCAGATATTATGGACATCAATGAAATTTTTAAAGATCTAGGAATGATGATCCATGAACAAGGTGATGTGATAGGTAAGTCCAATTGAAACATTCTCCGAAAATTTTTTATTCTGTTTCTTTGGAGAGCACCAGCGTAGAACTTCCTTTTGCTGTAAAAATTCCTGTATTGAGAATATCAGTGCTAAAGCAAACCAGGTGCAACCTAATAATGGGCAGACTGACTGAGATGACTGGGAATACACTAAGAAAGTGTGTTTAAAATGTTGTTTAAATAATTATGTAGTTTTTCATGTGTGTAAAATGTTCTTAAAAGCAGATTTTTGAACTGTTCATACCTAAAATGGGAGTTTATATCGGCAGTTTTGCTGTATTAACTAATGATAAAAGTGAGCAGATTCAGATAAGGTTCCTGCTTTGCCCTCCATGTAGGCAGGTTTATTCTTTTAAAGAAATGTGATTGGAAAATACATTTTCTGAGTCTGCTGCTAAGCCTCTGATTTCATACACTTTAGGACTTTTTTACTCTGAGCAGAGGGTAGTCAGTAGGAAGTTGGAGGACAAGTAAAAATGGGGGGGTTAAAATAGAAAAAAGTTGAAGTAGTGAAAGTTTCTACCTCATAAGTATAGCATGGGACAAACTTCCATAAATCAAGGTACAAAACTGTACTGATGAAGACACCAGCAGCTGGGGGGCAGCTATTACACATGCTCTCAAGTGTATTTCAGCATTCCAAACCTTTGGCTGGGTTATGACTGACCAAAATTTTTAACTCTTCCCATTTAAAATAAAGACAGCATAGAAGCCAATGTGGAAAATGCAGATGTACATGTGCAGCAAGCAAACCAGCAGCTGTCAAGAGCAGCAGACTACCAGGTAATGTCAGTGCCGACTGCCAGTTGTGTGTAACTGTCCTTTCTCAGTAGTCTTGATTTCCACTTTCTTCTGCAGTTTAGATTTCCTCAAGGCTTGGAGACTTACTTAAAAGTTTGTTAGGCTACCATGGTACTTCTGGGTCACTATAAAACAAAAGTCAGTAACCTCTGAAAGCTTTGGGTTTCCTGTAAAATTAGCCAGGCTGTTTCAGAGCACCGGGAGTTATAGCTTTGCTTAAAAAACAAATCAAAACCAACCAACCAAAACCCCCAAGCAAACAAACCCCTCCTTTTATAGCTCAAGAAATAAAAGGTTCCTGTATGTAGAGAGCAAGCCTCTAAAGATAACTAGGGAAGATAGGCAGGGAAGTCTTCTGAAGATGCTGCCAGTTAGTACTGATTTTTGCTGCCTGAAATCTTCTCAAAGCTGTATATATCCAGCTTCTTTTAATTGCTACTCTGATGCTAAAAACCTATTTCAAAATCTCCAACTTTTTTTTTTTTTTTAAAGCCTCTTAAATACCTTTAACTGCCACTTCTGTATAACATTTTTGGAACTTATTAGAAATAATCTTATTAGTAGTAAATCTTCCCTCTTAAGTCAGAGTTAGTTCTTGGACTTTTCTCTCCCTGCCCCCCCCCCCCCCCCCCCCCCCCCCTTTTTAAAAAAAATTAAATAAAATCAAATCCTCTAATGTGTTAGTATTAGCCAGCATAGTAAATCAATGACAAAATGTCTGAAGGATTGCCTGCTGATTTCAGAAGTGAGCGAGGGAAAGGAGTGGATTCATCCTTGAACTGTATTCTAGGTGACAGTAACTGGCACATTAAGTATGGTGGTTGGCTCCTATCATGATACTAACAAAGTTCAGGAAAAAACACCCAGGCAGAAGAACCTCTGCCAAGTAGAGCAAAGCCTGGCTTTGCTTCTGCAGCTGTGGCCTGGAATCCCAAGATTTGAGTGTTTGTTACCCCTTGGCTATCAGCAAAAGCCTATGAAACCCACTTGTGATTTCCTTTCCTGCTGTGAAGGAAACCTTTGGATTCCATAAACCTTAGATAAAGGATGACAGACTGCTGCTAGTCTTGGGTGCTCTGGTATCTCAATTTACAGACCTGTATGTTTTTTTTTATTTGTTTGTTTGTTTTTCTTTTTTTATGCGTGTTGGGTTTTTTGAAGAGCATATTGCACTTGACAAAAACAACTTTGAAATAACCCTGTCAGCAGATGCAAAGCCAGTCTCCCAGAAGTCTAAAATTGCAGTCTGTTGTCTCCTTCTGCATATACATTAACAGCCTTTAAATTATTTTTTTTTTCTAACAGAGCATTTCTACCTCCTCTACTGTGCAGGTTGGCTGTTTTCCTCTGTATATGGTCACCTGCTCTCTCGCGTTTTCTTTCCATCAGTGTTCTAATTATATCCATTCATTATGTTTCTGCATTCTCTTTCATTAGTTTATTATGTATGCCAGAAAATACCACTGAAATAATTTTCTTGAATAATATAGCCATGAAGTAAGTTGTGGCTAACTTTGCCCTTTTTTTCTTGAACAACTTTATATGACGCATTAGTAAGGACACAATTTAGTTAGGTTGCTCAAGCAGTAGGACCTTACAAGCATTTGAATAGTCTTCTGATGTGGTGTTGCAGTTTTCAATCAACTTGGGTTTTTGGTTTTTTTTGCTCTATTGGCAGCAAAGATCCCGAAAGAAGATGTGCATCCTCATTGTTATACTTGCAGTTGGAGTATTGATTCTTGGAATTATCTTATGGTTAGCTACAAGTAAGTCTCTGGAGAAAGCATTGTAATTGGTATTTAAATTGTGAAAGGAAATTCCTAATCATGGTTTGTTCATCGTGAAGCTGTGTAAAATAATAGTCCTGTACTTCATCACACTTATTTTTTTTATAAGACTTATTGTTTTAACATGAGAAGTAACATTCTCAGTACTACCATCAGTATAACTGCCTGCCCTCTTGGATGTGGGTGCTGTCTTACCAGAAAAAAAACAAATTCATAAACTTCCGTTAACTTAAACATAAAAACCTCTTAAGGTTTAGGGGGCTAATCAAAATCCTGATACTTTGTTTTGATGGGACAGGCAATTATCTTTTGGGATACTGCTAAATGTTGCTGCCAAAACAAACTCCTGAATTGTTGCTTGAGGCAATGAATTCACGTCTCAGAATTTATTTTTAAGTTAGAAATGTCTTTCTAGCTCACTTTCCATCCTACTCACCTGCCCATTTGATATGGGTGGTTCAAAAATAAGATGTAGGTTGCTGAAGTTGGTGTGATATCTCCCTTATAACTGAAGTCTTTGAATTAAACCTTCAGTTTGCCTGAAATCTTTTAGATGCTTCATTTATCTCTATACCTGGCATTGAGCATGTTTATGCCTGGAAGCCTCCTGCAAAGGTAGGTAGGGTGGATGATGTAATCATGCAGATTTTTTTTGTTTCAGTTCTTGCATTAAGAAATATTGTGTTTTATGTGCACACGTCTGGTATCTTTGCATCTGAAGTGTGCATCAATGAGCTTGGCTACATGAAAATAAACTCTGTGAATTCTTAGGCTTACTGGGAAGAATAGAAGTTCCCAACTTCCTAACTGCACTTGAATGTCACTGTTCTGAAACTGCTGTGATTCGGTTTCTGTGAACAGATCCAAAGTAGTATGTGAGGTGTTTCATACAGCTGAAGAAAAGAAGCTTACAAGTTCAATTCCAAGTTCAAGAGTGGTATTTGAAATGAAGTTGAAATCAATTGAACTGATTCAAACTGTTTAAGACATTTGATGTGTATAGCCTTTAAAACAACCTTTTTCCTTTTGTGCCATTTTGTACTAATATATTAAAAAATGTAACAACACTTTTTTGCCAATTAACCTATTTGCCTTTTTAAGTGATCTTGATGAACTAATCCAAAAAGTGTACAGAAGAAAAAGTCACTTAATCAGTATTTTATAAAGTTCTTGTACACCAGACTGATAGAGAATGCACTGTTTACATGGTGAGATATGAAATATTTGGGAACAATCTAACTGTAAGCATAAATGGACTTAATTGTAACCATGAAGCCAAAATAAATGTCTTTTAAAGAGTACGTTTTCTAGTAGTTCTGTTTTTTTGGAATCTGTCTTTACAAGCACAGCTGTTGTCTTTGCCTTTATGTAAATGATTGAAACTTCTCCAAACAGCTCCAGAGAACTTCAGCTCTGCTGGCTGATCAGCCCAGAAGGGACCTCTGTCCCTGTGCTGCACTTCACATGCTTAATGAAAATGCTCCTGGATCTTGCATTCCTACCTGAGCCCAGACTTAGGAGGAAAGCTCCTGTGTGGGTGCCAAGGGTAGACTGTTCCTAGGTCTTCTTTGGCATAGCATGAGGCTTTTGAGGGATGGGAATCTGTGATGCAGGAAGGAGGCTTGTGCTATATTTGGATTCTGAAAGCAATGGGGGAAAAATAAGTCCTGTGAAGCTGCATGATCCTATTCTATGTAATGTGGAAAAAATCTCTGAGATTGAAAGGGGAATTGAGGTTGCAGTATGGACTCTTGTGTGTTGAGATTCCAGCTACTATGTTCCTGTGTCTGCCTTTTTGCTGAGAGTGAAACTGGGACTCTATATACCCTTACTTGTTGAATAACCGTTACGATATGCTTTGAGCCACTGCCAGCCATAGTTAAGCTAGCACTATTGATGCTAATACCTTTTTTTGTTTCCAAACTACACTAGTCTAAGCTAGAAGAGCAGTCAGCATTTCGGCTGAGTAGCTTTCTTACCAGTGAATTGTCTAAAACTGTCTTCAAAAGCTTCCTGACTTTAATGTTTAATAAACTCTTTATAATATTGTAAACAGGCACAAGGGAATGACTTATCCTATTTGCCCAGGTGATCCTTTTAACTGTTGCAATACTTCATACGTGTTTCTGTCAGTGACTGATTCCACTGACCTGCTGGGGAAGGAAAAGCAGCACTTCTGCAGCACGTCTTCAGCTCTGACTCCTGGCAGATCAGAAATTCTGACTAGGCTTGATAATTACCACATTTCATGTGTATTGCAGTTTGATTGGTTGGTTTTCTACTAGGAGGGTTCCCTACTAAAAGGCTTACCAAGTTGAAGAGTATTACTCATCTATGATTCTATGATTTCATCTTGGATGAAATGGTGTATTTACTGATTGCTTACTTACCTTAAAAAGGGATGAATGCCCTCCTTACTGAGTATATCCAGCAGTGACTGCAAATCAGAATAGCCAGTACATAAAGCTCCCTCCATCAGGAGCTGGCTGGTGAGAATGAGGCTGAGGCAACCTTTTTGAATAACTCAGGAATTCTGCAAGTGCACAGCATTGCATTTCCCAAACCCCTGATGAAACCTGCTGCCTCTGGTCTTGTTCTTCTGTGTCTGATGTCTCTGTATGTCTTTACTTCCCACATGAGTTGGCTCTTCATTTTGAGAGCTGTGTGCCTGTTCAGCTGCTGTCTGGTGGTAGTGGCTTGGCCACTGCTGGGGAGGAGAGCACTACCAAGAGCCATGGTGCTTGTATTGCTTGCTTTCATTCATGATCTACTGCTTATGGCGTTCGGGTGCCTCCCCCGTGTGCTCTCATGTCGTGGTTCAAGCCCAGCCGGCAACTTGGAACCACGCAGCCGCTCGCTCAC